CTATTCTCCAAGTAGTTTCTAAACTAGGTCTTAAAATTCTCACTTGTTTATACATGAAAGCTGTATTTTATCTTATTTTTGGCAGCAGGGAGGGGGGTTAAGCAAGTTAAGACTAATGCAGTTCAAAATAAGTTGTGACTGTTCACAGAAAAGTTTTCACTTCTATTTCTCTGTTTACTTCATTTCATATTATTGATTCTTCATTTCAGTTTTCAGTGCCCCTGCTCAGATCCATAGTGAAAAAACAGAGAGGTACAGTATCCACCCTTCCCTGAAAAAAACAAACTACAATATTCTTAGAGATAATTTATCTTATGCTTCTAATATCCACACAGTACCATGTGCTTTATATTGCAGTCACTAAACAAATACCTTGCCTATACTACCTCATGCCTATTATTTAGCCTATTGCATGACATGTCTATTATATGTTTGCCATTTCTGCTTCCTTGCACTTGTTTCATTCTTATGTAAACTGGGATTTTACACTATTCTCCTATCATTGCTAAAGCTAAAGCTTCTAAGGAACTCTTAACTCCACGTTCAACAGAAACATAAGTTCTCTGTTGACATTCTGGAATTTTACCTTCCTTTGATTTTGATGCCTCCATCCTCTCCTAGTCTTTCTGGCTCTCTAGTGGTTTCTTGTTTCTTCTTTACCTACACTGTATCTCCCCCCATCTTCCCAAAATTGGTGGTCCCTAGAATTCTGATTAATCCTCTCCCTTTATTTCACTTTTCAGGCTTTTTCAATTCATTCCCACCTAAGACTTTACTTATGCCAAAACTCCTAAGCCAGGTTTCCAGTTCCTACTTTTCTCCTTAGTCCTGGTCCTCTATCCCCAACTGCCCCATAGATTTGACAGCAGTGCTATTACCAGGCAACGTATCAGTACATAATCTTAACAATGGATGGTTTATTTGTATCATCTAATCTAATGCCTTTTCCTGAATTCCTTACCTTAGTTCACAGCATCTCCATTTACCCAGTCGACCAAGTTAAGAAAATTTTGGTACATTAATAATCCAAGGCATCATAAAAAATGTATCACTTAAAGACATAAAAACAAGCATGTTACACTCTCAAAGACTTCCATTGCCTAACTATTGCCTGTTAGTTGGTAACACACTGCTTTCTCATCAACATGAGGTATTTCATCCAATGTGACTTCCCACCCACTTCTAATGTATAATCTGCTCTGATACCCTGGGGTGCCTAATGCTTGATTTTTAGTGTGATTTCTCCCAGTACTAGCCTTGCCTATATGGCTACTTCAGCCTAGAACAATGACCTCAACAGGGATCAGTTTTGGCCCCAGGGGTCATCTGGAACTGTGGAGACATTTTTTGATGGTCACAACTGGCATCTAGTAGGGTTAGGACAGAGATATTGCTAAATTTCCTACAAGGCACAGGCCAGCCCCCACATAACAAAACATATGCAGACCAAAATGTCAGTAGTGTTAGACTGAGAATCCCTGTCCTAGCATATCCTTCTTGATTTCTCTGCCTGGGCAATTTCAACTAACTTACTATTATGACTTAGCTCAAGGTCACCTCCTCTGTGTAGACTTCCTCTGCAAACCTGGTACTCTCCTCTGGACAAATACTGCATCTTCTTTCTCATTGTCTCATTCACACCTCTATTTTGGTAGACCACAATGAACATTTTTGTTTAACAGTATATCTCTGTTACCAGAGTGGGAGTTCCCAAGGAAGCTAAAGACTGTACTTTATCTTTTATTACCAAGATTTGGGTCAATGCCTGGCAATTGGTAGGAACTAAAAAGTATGCTAGATAAATGCACAGAAGAAGAAACATCCATAAAGAAATACAAAGTATTTCTGAAGCAAACATTTCAGCTAACAGAACCTCCTTGTAATTAATATTATAATTCTTCAGTTCTAAGGAATAAATATATATAAGCATAAAAGATTGCTGCATCACAGTTTTAAAGTTAATATTTATAAGTTATATTGTTTTTATAGGAAATGCAAAGTATTGCTCAAAAAAAAATTTAAGGAAATTTCTGTAAATATTCTGCTAAAGAATGAAAATAAGGACTTAGAAAAAATGTAATAATAATAATAAAGATAAAGATATTCTAAAACATTCATTTCAGAATGACTAAATGAATTAAGACATTATTACAATGTATAATCTTCAGATTAGTGTTAAAGGCTTTTAGAATAATTCAGACATAACTTTTTAAAAAATCTATACTAGACTTAAACAATATAGTTCTCAGCGACAATAAACAAAAACAAAATGTACTTAAAATAAAAAATATGAGACCAAATTTTCTAATAAAAACATGCTCATATATGAACAACGAAAGATATGTAAAAGTGTGGGAAAATACTAAGGTATTTTAAATAATAGGATAACAAAACCTCTGTACATCCAAACACAGAATTTAAGATCTCTAGAGAATAGAAGAAAATAAAACAAAAATAGTGCAGACACAGGTTTTAGGCATCTGAATAGTAATTTTTATAACAGGTTAAAAAGTACCTTAACTCCTTAACTATTTTTTGATGGTGCTAACAAAATATTACATACAGTATTAAACCATCAAATACCTAGTTTCAGATAAAAAGTCACTATCTAGCATTGACAAAAGTAATACTGTATTTCAGAAAGTACATATTGTAAACATGTCAGTTATTATGGTGTTCTTTGCTATGCCTGAAATAAACATCATTATGTGGACTACAAAGCCCCATCTTCACTTTAAGTTGTGAACATATAACAGAAACTGTGTCACAGATATAAGTAAAAGTCCTCATTAGACTTTTAAAAATTAGCCTTTAATAAACTGTTGATTAGAGAGTTGGAAGCTCATTATTATGCTGCTAGAGTGGTAGCTAAACACATAAGAAAAGAACCTTTAGACATCTCAATGTTTTAGAAATCAGGGTCCCTGACCAAGCAGTGATTTAATTTCACCCCTGCTGGGTGCAGATAGCTGACATTACTAAATGCTACTCTAATATCAACTTGTTAAATGCAAATCCAGACTCAGCATATCAGAATACCACCCTAGACTAACTGGAGTCACGGGAAATATTTTGGGAGCTGTTTATTTATAAAGGAGTTGCAATACACCACTATAATTAGATTGATATATAATTATTGATAAACACAGGATTATTTCTAAAAACCCATTATTGTTGTCATTACTATGTTTAGAAAAGGCAATACTAGTATTTTCCTCTTAAAACTAACTCTTACTGAGTCAATTAGATTAACTTAGATTTATTATACATTGATGTTAATGGTCACTATAAAATTTATAATACTTCTATAAAGAGAAATTGTCTAGTAAACATAAAAAGAGAAATAATTTAAAGCTCTCCCAGCACAATTCTAAACTATTTTATAATACAATAATCTAAACAATATCTAACATCTCATTGTCAGACAAAAAATTAAATTTGCTTAATTAAGTTTAAATAAAATGTCTATTTTTAGTCATGCAAAAGGCATTTAGTCATATACTATTAAAATATTAAAGAAACCATTTTCACAAGCATCAACAGCAAACTATAATATCAGCACAAAGTCAACTATTTTAGGGATAGCCTTATAAGTATTTCTAGATCACTTAATCCTTTCAGATTATTTTGCTAAATGTAAAATAAAATTACAAAGTACAGGTAATTCAATTAGCAAACTATTAATGTTTTTTTATAGTAATTACTTCACTGCTTTCTGTTAGAGGGCAAAACAAGTGAGTGGATTATAATCTTCTAAAAGGCTGGTTTTGTAAATGGAACTAACAATTCTAAAATTTCAAATATAGATCAGAGTTTGAAATCTGATCTTTTATCCATACTCAAACTACTTGCATATATTAAAATCTAAACATTAGATAACAATGATTATATGTTATATACTAGATTCAAAAAAAGAAAAGCTAACAATGATTTAATATTTTAATTATTTAAAGCTGCTTGTCCTGAAGTTTATTTTAAAAACTTTGGTACAGATAGTGAGTACTATGTAAACACAAATAAACAGATCAGTTTTTTTTCCCCAAACTATTATGTACTGACATCTAGCCCTGCTTTAGTAGGATTCTTTTTTAACTTCTTTGAGTCTAGCAAGATCTTTAAAACATTGAAACTTAAAAAGAAAGCTTTGTGTTCAAAACTCTTAAAATGCCTTAGAAAAGAAAAATCACATAAAGAAATATTTTGGTTAACTCATTAGCATTATATTACTAATATAATAAAGTAATTTATCAAAATAAATTAATAAAGTAACTAGAAAATTATAGGAAATGCCTAGCAATTTAAACGAAATGCAAATAAAGTTTAGAATTCAATATTGCTGAAAGAGTGAGCTACATATAAGAAGGCAGTCTTAGGTAGTAGCTAAAGAAAAATAGGGTGGAAACAAAATTCCTGTGGTTGAATGTATATACAAATGCAATTGACATTTATTTTTCCTCTTCTTTAAATATACAGTGTAATAATTTTTATGATGATCTAATAATACATGTAGTTTAGAAAAACAATTTACCTAATTTCATTTATAATAAGATTTTCACATTTTTATATGGACTTTTTAATTGTTTAATATTTTAAATAAGAATATTTTCACAATGATTAAGAAAGGGAAAAGTACTGACTGAGCATTTTTGGAAGTAGGCAAAAAATATGAAAGTAGATATAAAATACAATGCCACTTGAGGAAAAGAACAGACCAAGGTAAATGGTATAAGATATAATTTAATGCTTGTTTTTATACTATAGAAATATTTTATAGCTTAAATCACATTGGAAAGTTTTTCCTTAATGCATATTTTCTACATCAGTAAAATAACGACAACAACAAAATGAAAACCCACTGGGAGTACTTCAGATTTACAAATACAAGGTTCACAACTACAAAACTGCTAAGTTATAATAAATTGAAACAAGTATTTCATTAAGCTATTCTAAATTTACATTTACATATAAATTTACATTTACAAAAACCAAAGGAAACTTACCTTCTTACAAGAATGCTTCAGACAATTAGATAGTTTATTTGTGATATCCCTGTTGTTGTCTTTTGGTAAGTTATCAACTGTACCTTCTTTTCCAGATGCAAACTTTATGAGTAATTGAGATGGTCCCCCCTTAGAACAATTGTGTTTAAGGCTGGATAAACAGGAAACATTCGGGTAAGTGCCTCCCAATGAAATACTTCTTTGTAAAACAGCATGGCTTTTGTTTATCTGTGAATTTGGTCTCTCCAACTGTCCAGTGATATTTATTTGGTAATCTATATTTGGGGAAGATGGTAAACATGCAGATGTCCTATGCACATGTTTAACATACTCTGATTTTGAATTAAACTTAGCTTCTGACATCTCTGGTTTACAATCACCATTTGCTGTTTCACAATCTAACGTAGTTGCTTTCTGTTGGGTGAAATGCACTGAAACACAAGAATAGCCTTCAGATGACTTTTCACAGACAGTCCGGTTTGAACTATTGCTTGCAATAACAATTTTCTTTTGGAAAGAGCCCTTTCTGTGAAGCGGCCGTATATCTCTTACTTCTCCCAGAGTACACGTTGTTTTAGATAACCGAAGTCCATTGACAGCTGTTGAAAGAAATCCCTTAGCATTAGTACCATCTTCGCTGTGGGCAATTTCACTAGGAGAAATAATAAACTGGTGTGAGGTTTGATACGATCCTTTGTTTGTAAGAGTACCTGTACTTGTTGGAGAAGTTGGTGGGGTACTTGAAGGACTCCTAGGAAAAATGACTAAGGATGAACAACGTTTCAGTGGAATTTTTGAGTTCCTGCTCACTGGCAATTTTACAATTTCCAGTCCATGTTCCAAGTCATCCTGGACAAATGAAACTGTACTTGTACTTCTCGAAAAAAATTCAGAAGGAGTAATATTCCTGTTTGGCACACTTCCAGTAGAAGTGTTATCAGAAGACAAATTTCCACCAAAAAAACAATCATCAGTTGGTGGGGAGGTATAACTGCTGCTGTCACTGATGATACTGTTGGTATAGGAACCTCCACTTGTGATACTTGTGCATGACCCATAATCACTACAATTGCTACTATAAGACCCATTCTCACTGGTCAAAAAGTTACTAAGGCTATCACTGCAGATGGCAGCACTGCTTAAAAGGTTACCTTCAGTCACAACATTCAGTTCATTCTCAGCCACAGCACTACTGTAAATGCCATCCTTCAAGGCAGAAGTAAATGAAGCATCATCACCATCAGCTAAGACACTGCTCGACTGAAGACATCCACTGTACCTTGTTGGTTGTAGTGAAATCTGTAGACAGCTGCTCTTTTTATTAACATTTTCAGGTGAAGGAACAGATGCTCTTTCCTGAGATTTAACGTTTTCCTTTATTAACGGAGCTAGTGCTGTCGGTCTAGGCGTCAGCTTCATCTGAACAACATTAGACGCTGAAATCCGTGTTGGTCTTTGAAAACACATGTGAGCATTGCTATCCAAATCATCTCCGGAGTTTTCTGACAAAGGATAAGTATTGCTTCTTCTGGCTGCAAAGTGCAATCGTAAGCTTTGTGCCATTTGTTCTCATTTCCAAACATGTTAAGGGCTGAAAGTCATAACGAAGATCTCTGTCGGTAGACAGACTAGAAGCAGCTGCACGCCATCGAAAGAAAAAATCATGTGTGGTGCCTGAAAGAGTACTTAAGGAGTAGTCTTTATCTTAAGTTATACATCAGATAACAGCTATCACAGAAAGAAAAACACGACCCATTCCTGAGACTGACGTATCCAAAATGTCTTGAATCGCTTGTAGTCAAAATGCCTTCACTTACAAAGCACTTGATTTCCAGCGACCTTTAAAGCTGAGCTCAGCTGCAGCACACTGCCTCGAACACTGCCAACCTTGTTTCAATTATACCTTCTCCAATTTGCATGAATGAGTAACACAAGAACAACAATCTTCTAGCATTTCAAGTTGAAACAGTATTTTTTCACTCCAGCTCTACTAACTGAACATTTAACTAAGTGAATCACGGTGCCTATACTTTTCTCCAGCAGAGTTTGACCACTAATATTTTTACCCATAGGGATAGAATTACAGGAAGTTGGTAGGAACGAAGCCCCATGTAATTGAGTATCAAATCAAAGATTGAATTTCTAAATAGTGGCTATACTAGGAATCTAGTCAAGTTAGTTAATGTACAAATAGAGTTAAATTTTTTAAAAATGAGTAAATTCAAACAGTTACATATATTTGAATATACCGGAATTTTGGGGTGAAGTAAAATTTTAGCATTAAATCAAATAAACATTTCGTTGCCAAAATTCTATAAAAAGTGAAAGCTTAAGGGTAGGAGGCAAAATTAGCGTAATAATGCTAATGCAAAAACTGAGCATACATCTGAGGAAAAAAGCTTAAGAGAAGCTGTCACCAAGCATTTTCTCTTGTAATTTTAAAGTCTTTTGCAGCCAAGTAGTACAGTCTTTAAATGATGCCATTTATATTTTGACTATTAAAATTCTGCCAAGAAATAGCCTAAGCAAACATTCCATTAAAAAAATATATATGCAGATTAGACAGGAAAACTATACCCCAATATAGTTTAAGCACACAAGATATTTTATTCCACTGTCTCTACAACTCATTCATTTAAGAGTGTTGTGGTAAGTAAAGAAGTCTAAAAAGGATTTAACACATCAAATAAACACATCTCAATGCCAATTCTGTTCTGAAAAACTCTTAAGAGCTCTTTGCTGGCCCCTACTGGTAGTTTAAACAACCCATTTAGCTATTTCATATCTATAAAGAAATACAAACCAGTCTGCATATTTCTTAATATAAACACAGTACAAACTTGTTTATAGTTTTGGTTACTAGCACTGCCTTATAGGTAGAATGACTTACTACTGTGATAAAGATCCCACAGAAGAGAACAGTAAACTGTTTGTCCTTGTAGAGATTGTGATTTTGTGTGTGTATATATATATATATATTTTTGCTTTGTATTTATTTAACCTTTACTTTATTTTCAGTTTACTAGGTAATAAAAGTTTAATATTTTAATTTCTCCCCTAAATGTCATAGACCAAGGTTGGTATTCTATTTGAAAGAGACGAATTTATTTTTAAATAATACTCTAGGGTATATTTAAACCCCTTACCTGAATTTTATAGCTGGAACTGCAGTAATAAATATATACTGGCTCATTCATAGGAAAGTAAAATAGTTCAGTTGTTTACACCACATGGTACTACACCCAAGTTGTATTTTCCTAAGTGATTTTTTTCCTAAGTAAAAGCAAATATGTAAAACATGTACTTTGTTAAAAAAACAAAAACAAAACAACTTCTTAGTATAGATCTGTTTTCAATTATACCTTTCTAACAGTATATTTAATCAAGACATGACAAAATAAAAAATATGGGATTTATTAAAACTATATTTCTGACTCAAAAGATAGTAATATTTCAGAACATGGACAAATACAAACTTAATAAAATTATGTTACCTTGGTTTTGTGTAACTGTTTCTTTTATTATTTTACAAAATTCACTGAATATCTTCTTATCCCCCCTACACAAGAGAGTATTAATCCTTCCACTTTGCCTTGCAACTTTCCTTCTTTACTTAAGGTAGAGTTCTGATTACTCAAAAGAAGGGGCCATTTCTCATGGGCTGATCCACGAACTGTAATTCTCATGCCTGTGGCCTGACACTACTTAAAAAGCAAAGCTCTTCTGTTGTCAATATAAGAAAATGAACCCAAAATATCCGGTTAAATATCCCTGGGAAATTTCACTATATGCATCAGTTTCATATCCTCTGAGTAGATTTTAAGCTTCCAGAGTGTGAGAACTATGCCGAACATTTCTTCTCAACCTCCAGAACTCATTTGAGTACTAAGTAAGTGCTAACACAAGGTTCGTTGGATGAATGAGTTGTACTGACTACTGCTTTCTTTCAGAACTTTTCTGTAAAGCTGGCCAACCTACTACATTTTTTTAGACAGTTGATATCTCATTTTATTAAACAAATGATCAATGTAATTGCTGATACCACAAAGTACTGTCAAGACAAGGGAGGAGCTTTATTTGCTGTATCTTCCTCCTCAAACTCTTTAATTTTTAAAAACTATTTATTTATTTATGCATATAGAACTGGGATAAAGGCCAGAGGTGTAGGGGCAGCAAGAGAAGCCAGCAAAGGCAAAAGTGGGGAGCAGAACAGGCAGATGTACTGAAACACACTGCTGAGGATAGCAGCCGGCGAGACAGGTCTGTTGCGCCATGTGGGTCACCCCCGGGGCTGGGGATCAAGCTCGCATTGAAGCAGCAGCTTGCTTGCAGTGCTGCACTTTAACCCATTGTGCCACCAGGGAGGGTCACCTCCTCCAACTCTTGATGGTTTCTTACTTCTTGGACTGGAACTGCTCCTTAGGGCACTTCATTGCTTTCTCAGTTTTAAACCTGTGGACCTTAGCCTGGTCAGCCAAGAGCTTCTTCCTGGCCTTATCAGCTTTCAGCTGATGCATGTGTTCCATGAGAATCCTTGGTTTTGAACATATTCCCCTTCACTGTCAGGTACAGGTTGTGATACATGTGGAGATTAATCTTCTTATATTCACAATATCTTCCGAGCAGCTGCACAGAATTGCTGACTTCCTCATCCAGGACACCATCTCAGCATTCCACCATTGGCAGGACTCTCTTGCTTACCTGTGTCCATATGCCTGCCCCTCCAGTAAGCCAAGGTGTTTTTCTGGCATCGAGCCCAGGAATGGACAGTCACAAGCTGCCAGTTGATCAGTATGTCTTTGAAGAGCTTTAGCATCTGCTGAGGGAAATTGGCCTTGGTGATTTCATTGGTCTCACTAAGGTCCAACCAGACTTTCTTTATGCCACAGTGGAGGGAATTGGAAGTGAACTTGTTCTGAAGCCTAAGCATACTCATGGTTACAGCAGCTGTGCCAAAGCAAAGAATTCTTAAACTACTACTTCTAAGAACATATCAACAGGCACTGCAGCCAGATGAGAAGGAATGGTGTTGGCAAAATTTGCAAAGAGGGATTCAGTCAAGTAAATATAAGGTAAGAGAATCACATGTTACTCAGCTATAAGAAAAAAAGGTGAATATGTCTTTTGTAACAAAATGGAAGGAACTTGAGGGGATATGCTAAGTGAAAAAAGACAGAGGATATAGACAATCCTCAGATGATCTCACCTATAAGTGGAATATGACAAAACAAAGCAAGTGAATGGACAGAACAAAATAATAAACTAGTGGATGTGGAAAATAGAACTGATCTTACCAGAGGAAAAAGCAGTAGGGTGGGGGAATCTAACAGATAATGGTTATCCCCAGGGTTGGAGGAGGATCTAACACATAATGGTGTTTTTTTTTTTTTAAATGTTGTTTAACCAAAAAAAAATGTTAACAGAATTATGTGTACTTTCTAGAACTGCTGAGTTTAAAATATTTTGTTGTGTTTTATGTTTCTTTTTTAATTATGTTTATTGAGGTGACATTGGGTTACAACACTATGATTTGTGGGTATAGGCTCACAAGTCTACAAATGTATGTTACCACACCACACTTACCACCAAAGCACCAATAATCATCTACACAATCCACAGGGCACCCTCCCCCTTTTGCTCCCCTGAGTTTTAATTCCAGAGAGGATGAACAGATTGCATTGATAACTCTGATTTGGATTGCACAGATATGTACCACCCTTTTATAACAGTTATGCATAGAATCTAGGGAATCCAGGCTACAACAGCCCTTTAGTGAAGCATGTGCCAAAAGCAGGGTGTCAACCCTAAACTTAAGTGAAAAACATTTGGAGGCTGGTTGCAGCTCATCTGGGAGAAATACTATGAAATTTCATATTCTGAAACAGAGCAGATACATTTTAGGATTCGATTGATACCCCATATTTTAAGATGTTTGGTTACTGATTATCTACACAGAAGAGGTGATTGTCTACATGTCATGGGTATGCTCTGGATAATACTAATTGTTTACTAGAATTTTAAATGCTCATGGCCAGAGGGAGGATCATCTGTCTTGGTCCAAGTGTTTGGTCAAAAACCAGTCTAGATGGTGCTATTTTTATTTTTTTAGCTTAACACTTTAATCAACAGATATTGAGTAATTACCTTCGGTAATGGAGTGGGGCTTACCCAAACCTTTAACTGCTGTAAGTGGAAAAACTGAGGTTTCCCAAATTCTGCCTCAAGACTACACTACGAAACCCTGCCTGAGTTTCCAGACTCAATGCTAATATCAACTCTTCCACATGCCAGCCTTCCCCACAGACTTCAGACTTGTCAGCTTCCTTAAAACAAATCATACTCTTCCCTTCACCCCATCTCCCTGCCTGCTCTCTCCATCTACTATGAGATTGCTGATATAGGCACTACTAAAGCTAACATCTCCACCCCAAACACAGAATACGTATATCTCCTAATTCAGAGTCTGGATGTGTGGGGGTGATATCCCTTATTAGGTCAATGACAGAGGCACTGCTATTACTCTGGTGGGTAGAATTCTTCTAAAGGCACATCTTTCTGTAATA